ATGGACATTATGTCAAGGTATTACTGTGGAGGAATAAATGATGGACGCTATATCAAGGTTTTACTATACAGGAATAAATGATGGACATTACAAGGTATTACTGTACAGGGATAAATGATGGACGTTATATCAAGGTTTTACTATACAGGAATAAATGATGGACATTACAAGGTATTACTGTACAGGGATAAATGATTGACGTTATATCAAGGTTTTACTGTACAGGGATAAATGATGGACGTTATATCAAGGTTTTACTATACAGGGATAAATGATGGACATTATATCAAGGTTATCCTGCACAGGGATAAATGATGGACGTTATATCAAGGTTTTACTATACAGGAATAAATGATGGACATTACAAGGTATTACTGTACAGGGATAAATGATGGACATTATATCAAGGTTTTACTGTACAGGGATAAATAATGGACGTTTTATCAAGGTTTTACTATACAGGGATATATGATGGGCATTATATCAAGGTATTACTGTGGAGGAATAAATGATGGACGTTATATCAAGGTTTTACTATACAGGGATAAATGATGGACATTATATCAAGGTTTTACTGTACAGGGATAAATGATGGACGTTATATCAAGGTTTTACTATACAGGGATAAATGATGGACATTATATCAAGGTTTTACTATACAGGGATAAATGATGGACATTATATCAAGGTATTACTGTACAGGGATAAATAATGGACGTTATATCAAGGTTTTACTATACAGGGATATATGATGGGCATTATATCAAGGTATTACTGTGGAGGAATAAATGATGCACGTTATATCAAGGTTTTACTATGCAGGGATAAATGATGGACAATCATGATACCTTGATATAATGTCCATCATTTATCGCTGTACAGTATAACCTTGATATAATGTCCATCATTTATCCCTGTATAGTAAAGCCTTGATATAACGTCCATCATTTATTCCTCCACAGTAATACCTTGATATAATGTCCATCATTTATCCCTGTATAGTAAAGCCTTGATATAACGTCCATCATTTATTCCTCCACAGTAATACCTTGATATAATGCCCATCATTTATCATTGATAGGGAAATCTCAGACTCTCTGTATAATGATAAAAAATTGGCATTATAGCAAGGTTTGAGTGTGAAGTGATACTTTTTGGAGCATTATGTCATCAGAATTTTTCTGTACTTAAACAAGGGACATCATTATATCAAGTTGTTACTTCAGTACAATGTACTTCTCAAATTTCTTCTTTGAATAAAAATCAAATTTCAGGGCCACTTTTTTTAATTAATACATATTGGTTTTCAGTTTGAGTAATATATCGATGTATAGTAAAAGTCAATTTATCATACTCTTTGAAATTCAATACAATGAGAAATGACAGTAAAAGAAAAAAAATCAAATTTGAAGATATTTGAAATAATTAGAAATCATATTCCATTTCTTGGTGCCTAAGAGAACAGCCATTCTTCCTTGTAGGGCTGTTTTCCTTCATCCTTGCAGCGTTATTGATATAAAGGGTTCGAGATCGCTGCTGTCGGTAGTGCACTTTTGAGGACAGTTGATTGGATTTATTGTCAACAAATAGGACGATGACATGTACTTTTTTATAATGGTCCCGAATAAAAAATTGGATTTACACAAAAAAATGCAATATTATAAATCTTATTTGCTGAGGAAAACTTAACAGACTCCTACAAATATAACCATAATTCATTTGTCTAAACGTTCTAGTTGGATTATTATTAGGAGATAAGGCAGTTTATGTACTGATTATATTTTATTGGGATTTAACTAATAGCAAATTGCCTGGATGTAGTCTATCAAACCCAGCGACAGTTAAGTGCACTGCAGGAGTGCAAACCTAATTCAAAACAATCTTATAACAGAAAGGAAGTGGAGCTAGCTAACATGATTAAATTCTTCAAGTTAACGTCTAAATAAAATTTCTTCACATCAACAGAATTTATCATGACATATACTCTTGTTTGACTTGTTTAAAGAAAATAGGAAAGTAATAAACAAAATTATACAGCTTTTCCAGACGGGTTTGGTTCAGAAGACAAAGTTAGCAAGATTCTTTGACAAAAAAAAGTTTTCACTGTACACATATTTGGCCAATGAAGTCCTATGTTAAAGATCTCCATAATTATAATCATTAATTTGAGGTTCTTATATACCGCTTTATCACAACCTAGTTCGTATGTCATCTTAAAGCGGTCCTTTCTCAACTCCCTGGGTCACTTTTCCTATATAGATATCATTATCTTTTCATTTTGATAACAAGTTGATATTTCCAGCACGTGGTTCTAAATAAAAGGACCAGAAATATATTCATGCATACATGCCATACCTTTTTGGTCCAAATTAGTGAGACCAGTGAATGTTTTTAGTGAGATTGGACCAAAATTAGTGAAATTTATTTCCTGAATTAGCGAGGAATTAGTGAGATTTTTAGAACAGAAAAATCAACGCGTTTATTACAGTAGGGCATCATTTTTCTTATTGTTTTTTAACAAAACCACAAAACCACATTTTTGAAACAATGTTTGTGAAATGATCACTGATCAAAAACGGTAGATCACGTTCGGCCACAAAACCACAAAAAAGCACTTAAGATTTTGTGACATTGTCATGAGTGTAATTCCCCGGACAAAACATATCTGACACTTTAGCGTTGTTGGCAGTGGTCCTAATTGATGACTTGTGTATTTCAGAGTTCTCATGTTTCCTGGTGTCGTGTTTTCCGCCATGGCCCACGTTAATATGAGCAGAACACAATTTACAAAAGGCATGGTTTAAGGATCCATTTAACTCCCCTTTATTCACGGAAAGTCAGAAGACCACGTCGGGTTGAATTTGGTCACATGATTTACTCTTGCCTTTCCGGGGCTAGGCTCCGATACATGTCGCGCACGTTTCGACATCTCGGAACGCAATGACCTTTTTCGCGAGAGTATTGTGTGTTTTAAGCAAAGTGGGTTTGACAAAAAAACTAGTTCCGACAACCTGAGAATTAATCACTATGTGATAACTACTCACCCGATGACACTTACCTTGACTTACCCGTGTAGTTCCTTCTTCCTGTCATTCCATCCGCCATTTTGGACAATAAAGCGATCATGTGACCCGAAATAAAGAGTCATGAATTAATGTAATCGCGAAACAGGTGTAGCTGTACCCCAATCAGGACACCCCTACCAGTTTTGGCTTATATTTGGAGATGAAAAAAGTATCTAGCAGAACATGGCATATCTTTGGAATATTTAAGAGTTGAGGGTGTCTCTGAATGAATTTCTTTTCCAAACTACCATTAGTTTTGAAATAATAAGATTGTGAAAAATCACATACAAAAACGTCGCATGGCGCATCAATTTAGAACGTTACATTTTCGTCATTATTTTCAAACTAAAACTGTGATTGTAACCACAAGTGGCAGTAGTTAAAGTTCATATAATGTTTTATTGGTATATAAACATCTTTAAATCAATATTATAAATTTGCACAGCATACACATTTCTTGTGACTTTTCCTTTCAAGTGTCCCTAATTGGGTACTGTCCCGATTTGGGTACTGTGGTGTTAGTCATAGAGGTTACACAACGAGTGGTTGTTGAATATGGTATTTATTTCACTCGAGTAATTTAATTTTCAAAAGTTACAAAAGACACGAGCTTTAGCGAGTGTCTTTCTGTAACTTTTGAAAATTAACTAACGAGAGTGAAATAAATACCATACTCAACAACCACGAGTCGTGTGATCTGTTTCTACCACAATCTCATGATCAGTCGGAAATAACATACACACATGTGTTTGTTGACAAGGCTGGCGTAGTGATATGACCCATATGTAAAAAGTCACTCATTAATATTTAAAAATGACTTCTTTTTTTTACAAATTTAATTATTGTCAAAATTAATCTTTCGGCAACAACTTCGTGAAAAAATAAAATAGATGAACGACTTTAAATATTGAGAGTAGCAGTATTGCATTAATTTATATAAATTAACCACGGACTATATGCGCGTAAGCATATCGTACGAAGTCTGCCTCCCGCCAAGTGATGAACCGTTGTAGACGAACTTATCGCTGTCAATATCCAAAACCATTGGCCTACGTTTCTAGGCCTACGTTTCTTCGTGACGGTTCTATGGTTGTCGTTTATAGTGAAAGTCCAGCCATAGTCAAACCGTCTAAATAGCGATAACGGGCCGTTGGGCGAACGAAATATTTCCCGACACTGTGACAGATCTTGTTTTGGTTTCACGACCTGGACACGCGACGGCGTGACGTCGAAACGATATCGAGCGTCTGTAGCATTTTTGCCTGAAACTAGCGATCAAATCTTTAAGTATCATCTTTAAATATTGCCTTAATAACCACCCTTTCCACATAACCTCACAACGTCACCAACATTTGTCGGATGTTGACAGCCGACGACGTAAACAAAACAGCAGGTGGCAAAAAGCATGTGGAAAAAGTCTTCCTGGTCAAAGTTCATCTTCTCGACCAATCAAAACTCTTGAAGGTCATATACCACGTGTGGTATAAAACTCATATTTATCTAACAGTCTGCGTGTTTATACAATGATCTGAGAGTGGAATAACACAGCGTATTGTGGTAGAAATTGTAATTAGTGCCCATGTCACATAAAAAAAATCTGAAAGGGGTGCGTAATTAAGATAATGAAACATAGGTTTTGGCAGTTGCTACAAAGGATTCACACACCAAACTGACGGACACATTCCTAAGGAGCTGAGTTCCAAAAATGTTCTCTTTTTCACTCAGTTTCTAAAACCCAGGAAAACAATTTTGTGAGACTGCAACTTATAAGGGGATGGGTTTCTAAAACCCTGGAAAATAATTTTGTCAGATTTCAACTCGTAAGGGGATGGGTGCTAATTAAGCCAAATATGGTAGCCTACAATTGTATACCGAGTCAGTTATAAATGCCAAAGGTACCAAAATTAAATTCGTGAACATTTTTTGTAATTGTAGAATTCCGCCGATGTGAATCTAACAAACCTACGAGGTAATACACCGCTCCACTTGGCTGCTGTCAACGAGAAACTTAATGTGGTGAAGCGCCTGGTCAGTCTTGGGACGAATGTGACGGCGGTCAACATGGACAACCTCACACCGGTACAATTAGCTGTGAAGGTAGGTGACTCTCTACATCACCCATCATTGTGGTTGAATTGATCACGTGGCGGACTGGTGAATGGTCGCTAAAAACACACTGAAATCCTATAAAACCCTTTAGTCTCACGATCAAGACTGTTTTCCAGTATTTTTGGAAAAAGAGTGAAAATTGCTTTCTTGGATTCTTTTCCTGATTTATGAAATGTATTTGCATGCAGTTTCTACTTTATTTTCAACTTATCTGGCCCGAAAATGATTAAAACGGATAACAGTATTTGGCCAATAGCATGCTGGGATATATGACTACCAAGTTTGTTGAATTGAATGATCTTGACCCTTTTTCTAGGTCAAAGGGGTGAAATGATTAAAAATCTTCAAACAACTTTTTCTGAATAACCAAAAGGCTCAGGATGGTTATAGTTGGCTAGGAGATTGCTGATATGAAGGGCTACAAAGGTTAAAAATTAGGTTTCAATTGAATGACCTTGCACATTTTTCAAAGACACTGGTGTCAAATGATTGAAAAATCTTTTACAACTTCTGAATCACCAAAAGGCCCAGGGTTGTGATATTTCGCCAGTTGCATTCTGGGATATATGCCTACCATGTTTGTTCATGTTTGAACAACCTTGAGCCTTTTTCAATGTCAATGCAGTCAAATATATTAACATCTACATACAGCTGCATAACCAAAAGATCCAGTGTGATTATATTTGGTAAGTAGTATTTTAGGATGACTGACAACCAACTTTGTTCAATTCAATGACCATGACCCTTTTTCAAGGTCAGCGTGGTCAACAATATTGAAATCTTTGAACAACTTAGTCTGAGAAGCAAAAGGCCTAGGTTGCTGATATTTAGCCAGTAACATGCTCAGATAAAGAGCTACAGGATTTGTTCAAATGAATGACCTTCACCCAAATTCAAGGTCACGGAGATCAAATGTGTTAAAACATTTGAGTAACTTTCTTTTGAATTCAGAACCAAAATGCATAGGGTGGTGATATTTGGCCAGTACCATTTCTCTGATGAAGAACTATCAAGTTTGTTTGTTTGAATGACCTTCACCAACTTTCAAAGCTCACAGATTGTTGATTGTCAATGACCTTGTTTGACATTCAAGGTCACTAGGATCATTTTGAATGACTTAAGAGTCCTAGATACTGATGTTTTGCTTGTAGCTTTATTTTAATCCACTTTTAGATTGACAAGTTCGGGATTAGTACAATTTGAGCAGAGCAGGCCTATTGGGCCTCATGTCCTCATTTGTATTATGACCTTGACTTTCTTTTAAGGGTCACAGGGGTCAAATATGTCTATGTGGCAACCCACACTTTTGCTTCTAAAGATCGTCTCAGAATCCAAAAGATTAATCTTTAATAAATTTGACATGGTGATGGACTGTGATATGTAGATGTGCACTAGGTGTTTAAATTGTTTTTAAGGTCAAGGTCACTTACTAAAATAGACCAAGTGGAGTATAGTCCTTATCTCAGAACCCAAAAGACTACTCTTTTGTGATATTTTACATGGTTATACACTGTGATATGTAGATGTGCATTTGGGGATTTTAAATAGTTTTTCAAAGGTCAAGGTCACTTACTAAATATAGACCGAATAGTGAATAGTCCTTATCTCAGAATCCAAAAGACTACCCTTTTGTGATATTTTGCATGGTTATTATATGCTGAGATATTTGGATATGGATTTGGGCTTAAAAAGATTCTAAGGTCAAGGCAAGGTCGGTGTTGCTAAAAATAGTCCATTTGTAATACGGCACTTATCTTGGAATCCAAAAGACTGATATTTTGGGTGATACTCTGTTATGTGTTGATGTGAAAAAGGGATTCAAATTTTTTTAGGGTCAAGGTCAAAATGTCACTTAAAAATTATCCATTGGGAGGGTAGGAGGAGGGGGTTACAGTCAGACAATGGTAGGCTGACCTTGCTGATCTGACAGTTTTCTAGTTAAAAATTGGTCTATAAAAGGTAAATTACTGGTCACGCAATAGGAGGGCAGTGAGGCTACAGAAAGGATGTGTTCCCGGATAATGTGACCGCAGTAGTTGTGACAGCCTATTCGCATCTGAGGAGCTGTCCGTCCTTGGAGCGTGACCTGGATGGGCTGGAATATTTTGAATCTCCGAGGGCTTGGTAAGCTGGCGCTTACCCCCTCAAGTCGAACGAACACTGGCCCCAGCCAGTGAAGTGTAGACTATAAACTCTTCAAACAAACAAACAAACAAACAATCGCGCAATAAATTAGTGCGATACCATATCAATCTGAAGTCCAGGATTCAAATCCTGGTCTAGCCCCACAGATGGTATTACACTCAGAACACTGGTGTTGATTATATTTTGTTTATTTCGTCTTTAGTATTTCTCATAAAAGTTTCGCAAGGCAATTTTTTTTCTTTCAGAAATGATTTATCAAAGCTATAGTCATGCCGGACAAAATAGTTTGCAACACTTAGAAAACAGTATTTTGGCAGTGGTACGGGGATCCTGAACTCATTCACCCCTGAAATTTCATAATGAACTATTCCAACCTTTGAATTGGAGGAGTTCAAATGTGTCTTCAGGGGTGAATGAGTAAAATGATAAAGTAGTTCTTTGAAAAGACATACTAGGACATTACAAGGCATGTTAGGATAGCCTATACTCCCTAATGCTGATTTTGATGAATTTGAATAGTGACCGGTTTTTAATTTGCAGGCTTAATTGACCTGCATTTTAACCATCTATGACCCTCTTATCATTGATGAAAAATTAGTAGGTAAAAGTATACAACTAATGTCTGTTTAATCATGGCACGGATTGTATACACACACTCGATGACATTTTCATGTGACGGACTAATAATCCAGAACAGATCATTCATGTACTTCAGGGAGTTTGACCAGTCTAAACAACCTGTCCAAGTAAGTAGATCATATGGTTGTCAAGGGGACAATAAAAATCCTGAAAGTCCGGTCAGCGTTCTGTGTTGAGGGGGCGAGATTGGAATGTTGAGTAATACGCTGAGAACTGGAGCTGACGTGAATGTTTGAATAAGAACGAAAGACCAGAATACTTATTAGATTTCGTTTTTTTGCCAAACAGTCAGGTCAATATCTGCTGGTACATTGACATCAGATTTTTTAGCACAGCTAGTGTAATAACATTAACACTGATGGATAGAGGATATTGGGTAATATATATATATATTAGTTTCTTCTCAGACCAGTTAATGACAATGCACTTTCAATGTGACCTACACATTTGAGAATTTGAGCAATTTTTTTCTATATCTTTTTCCTTGCCAGCACATCTTTTTCAAGATTAACATAATTTTTTCTGGTTCCAGCACATGCACATTAACATTCATTACATTACATTTTGTAATATTTTATACTTATATGATCACTGGGATCAATGTAGACTTGATTCACTACCGTTTATGGGTAGTTTAATTCCTGATACAGAAGAAAATTCCCGCTATTTGAAATTCCCCAAAAATGTGCTTCAAATTCTCCTATTACAACAAGAAAATATTTCCCCTTTATGTTTACTTTAAAGTTCAACAGTTAAAATGCATAATACTGCATATATACATTTTCTTCACATAATTTAAACAATTTTTTTACAATTTTAAGCTTAAAATTGTTTATAATTGAAATATACTGCACACAATTGTATGGCGGACAAAACATTTATCTTTTACCTTCATGACGCTAGAGCCTTAAAGTATCAAATTTTTTAATTTCCCAGAAATCTGAAATAGGGTAGATTCTCCTAAAACCTAGATTGACCCTGGATCTCCTGCTCTAATNCTTGCTTTTTATACTTTAATGGATTTAATAATCTCAAATTGATATGACGTGTTTTAATTAAGGAAAAAATAAAACTGCTGGAAACGATAATCCAGTGACTCGATAAAATATGTCTATTTAAGATAAAGAAAAACAATATTTTTATGCTCATTTAAGTATACAGGTGAGGTACTGATACTAGAGCTGTAATGATACACCAATGCATGGATGAATCATATCAGTTCTTGAGTGCCGATGCATCGTGGGATTCAACGATAGTATCACAATACTTTAAAAAAGCAATACATTTGTACGGCCAGTTAGACTGGTTACCAGTCCTGTATTGCGACCATTTTTCGGCAAAGTACTTGAGGCAATTAACTGGTAAAATTTCGCATAATAATTCCAGAATGTATGACTTATTTTACCATCACAACCATTCATAATTCAAAGCTATATTACATGGTAAAATACGAAAAAATGCTGAAATACAGTTAGGTCAAAAATTTCAAATCTCGACGACGATTTGAGCTGATATGTACAGCGATTGGGAAACTATGTCGGCGTATTGCATGGAATTTTAGTATTCTCAGATGAAAAATGCTGTTCTTGTGTAAACTTATGCTTCAATATTCAATTTTGGCAGTTCAATGGTGCCCAAAATGAAATGTGGAAAGTCGCGAAGCTAGCTGGTTTTGTGTATTGCAAAAAAAAGTCTAGGTCGTCACTGCAGATGTCAATTTAAAAGATAATTATTTAGGGACTGAAAACAGTCAAATACATATCATTTTTGTCTCTTAAAAGAAGGAAAAGCTGAAATCTTAAGAGATTGGTGTTTTAGTGTCTCCATAATTCAACTGTTAGCGGTCCTCGTCAGTGTCTGTTTGACCAACTGCCTTTAAGGTAATAGGATTGTTTCACCATTTCTCAGTAGAATTTCTTCAAATTTTGTAGTTATATTGCTTTGAAGTTAAGAAAAAAATTCTGCCACAAAAAAAAATTTGGGCTTTCAGAATTTTAAGGATTTTAAATGGATGTAAAAAGGAGTGAATTTTGAAAAAAAAATGAAAGACACAACACAATTTTTCCAAAATAATGTCAATAAAAATGATACTGACAGATTATTATTGCATTAATGAATATCAATTTAATAAATCCTGAAATTGTGTAAAATAAATTATCTATTAACTATTAAAAATTGACATTTTATAGTAAAACCATATACAC